AGTGCGGAGAGAGAGAGAGAGGGAACGCGCGCGCGCACACACACACACACACACACACACACACACACACACACACGTGTCATCAAGATGTGCACACCTGGAATTCTGACCTTCATCCCTCTCTCCTCACAGGCCCAACTTGTTAAGGACAGACACTTGCTGGTGCGAATGGGTAGTCTGTACTCGGATGAGGAGGAGGACACGTTGGACAGTCCTCTGCCTGACAACATTCAGAGGACGTGGACAAAAGAGAAGTGCGAGGCCGAGAGGAGCATCAGAAATAATGCGCCCGAGAACTTCAGAGAGCTCATGAGCCTCAAACCGTGAGTCACAATTTCGCAACATGATACGAGGCCGATGTGCTCATAGGTGTGTGCAAACTACGCATACAGTGACATTGTGTTTATCAGGAGTCTTTAAAGTAGACACCCCCCCCCCCCCCCCCCCCCCCCCCCCCCCCACCGATTTGAGGGTGTATAACAACCTTTGTCAACTTTTGAAGAAAATGTATTTGAACATTTATCATATCCATTTTGAAATCCAGGGACCAGTCCAACGTACGGCGAATGCACACGGCCGTGAAGCTGAACGAGGTGATCGTCAACAGGTCCCACGACGCTCGGTTGGTGCTTCTCAACATGCCGGGACCGCCTCGTGACACAGACGGAGACGAGAATTGTATCCTTTGGCCCGCTGTGGCAACAAACGCACCATCAGAGCATTTTTGCCATTGTTGCCTTCACTTTTTTGCCCCACTTCAGATATGGAGTTTTTGGAGGTTTTGACCGAAGGTTTGGAAAGAGTGCTGCTGGTGCGAGGCGGTGGGCGCGAGGTTATCACCATCTACTCGTGACCAATCCGAACGGACAGCGGGGGTGCTTCACCATCCCACCGAAAGGCTTAGCTGCTCGAACGTCGCATTAGAATTGGGTGTCTTCGTATAAGATTATGGTAATGTACATTATCAGAACATTTATTTAGAGCAGTGGCGGCGAACCTTTTTTCTTATTGTGCGTTGTTTCAGTCGTCGGATCACACAGCTGTCGGTTCCCCACGCTGATGCGGTGTAAATTATACAATAGAGCAGCAGTAGTGCACACAAGGCCAAGGAGATTTTGATTTCATGGGATTCCGGGGTGGGTGCACACTTTATTTATTTATTTATTTGACTCTTTTCATTTTTTTTTCCCCCTTGGAAGGCAAGAGACTTTTTTTTTTTTTTTAAGATTTAAGTATTCAATTTGCATGCAACGATGGCTTGTTTGTTTTAACTTATGTTTCTTGTTTGTACATTTCTTTGTCGATAAAGTTTTCATTCGCAGATGGTTGAGTCATTCTCTGACTGAACGAGCAATTTTGTTTTGGTTTGGTTTTTTTCAGGGAGTACAGATGACAAGTTGTGCAGTGACAGAACAGTGCTAATAATCCTGAATTAGATTTACTTTTAAGTCAGTTAAATTTAGTAAATCAATTCGTTTTAATTTTGTAATTTTTATTTGAATTCTTTGTTGATTTTTTTTTCCCTCAAAAGTGAAACTGTCAAGGAATATCCACCATTGTAGTTACTTTTATATTGTAAATTAAGGTTGGCAGTAGTGACTTTGGTATGACGTATATTTTTAAACAAAATTTACCACATTCCAAAAAAAAAGATTTCTATGACTTGATTCCCTTCAATAAATTATTTTATGATACAACTTTGTGCACTCGTGCTTTGTGCTTTTTATACTTTGTGTATTTAATTTCGATACAAACAGAACTCAATATAATGCTACTGTAATTATATTATAGGCGCCTTCTGCTGCTGCTTGTGAATGTTGCAAGAAATGGTTTAGTTCAGACTTTTTCAGTTACATTACTGCTTGATGTTTTTTCACACTAAATGTGATTTGTATGTGTGAATTACAGTGTACAAATGTCCAAGGTGGCAAAGGCCTGTCACCTTTTAACTAGAGACTCGAAATGTTCACAATTGATAGAGATTCTCAGATAGCACAATTAAATATGTCTCCTTATGGCTGTGAGGAGCTCTGGGATGAGAGAAAAATCTCAAGACAGTGCTTCAAGTGCAACCTAACTTTGCCATTTTGACCATTAACTTCTCAAATTTTAATACAGGTATGTGCCATTTTATCTGCAGTAGACACAATAATGTGGGTGTTTTAAAGCAAAACAGTACAGCTAAAATGTATACAAACTGGATTTTTAAAAATGTGTCCACCAGAGAGCAGCAATATACAAGTGTCATCTTCGGTCAAGGATATGAGCCACAACAGTTAAAACTGTTCATCCATCCATTTTCTGTGCCACTTGTAAATTAAGCATATTTTAAAAAATGATATATATTTCACAGTGCAGTTTTCTCTATGCAAAACAGCCATAAGCTAGTGTTTATTTATTTATGTCTTATTTATTTTGGAGGTGAGGCGTGTCGGTCAATTAAGAGGGGCTTGAGGTGAAAAGATGTGACATGAAGGACCCATTATCCATCTTCAGTAGTGGCATACTTTTTTCAGCAAACGATTTGACATTTTACTGTCTGCTTTGAATGGAAAACAAGTGTGGCCATCTGGTGGTCAAATTTACAAATTAAAATTTTGAAGTATTAGTTTGTTTTCATGCACTGAAGAAAACGGTGTGTTGAATTTGCTCAATTTCATTTTATCAAGTGGTTGCATACAGACAAAAAAAAGAAAAAACATCTGGATGCAGATACATTTTTTCGGTAGATATTTATCGATTATCTGAACTTCTTATCCTCATGAGGGTTGAAGTCGTGCTGGAGCCCATCCCAGCTGATTTTGGGGCTGTAAGTGGGGTACACCCTGAATCAGTTGCCAGCCAATCGCAGGGCACACAGAGATGAAGAAACCATTCGTGCTCACAATCACACCGAAGGACAATATAGAGTGTCCAATTAACCTACCATGCATGTTTTTGGAATGTGGGAGAAAACCGGAGTACCCGGAGAAAACCCACACAGGCATGGGGACATGCAAATTCCACACAGTAAGGCCAGGGCCCGGAATCAAACCCATGACCTCCGCGCTGTGATTTTATTTTGTACAGCTGCTTTACAAAATAAAATGGAGTAAATTCAACTAAAACTTTTTTCATTGTGTAATCACCAGTGAGACGGAAGTGCAGTGACATTTGCTTCGACAAATGGCCCGTTGTTGAATAACTACAAAGTGCCCTCATTTCCTAGTGAGGCTTTAAATAATGCTGAAGTCACAGTTTTGTAACTTGTCATTTCTTCTGCCCTGGATGTTGGCAGCCTCATGGCCATGTGTTCATTATCTGCTCTTACAGCTTCTGACTCCAACGCTGCAATTACATCCTCGGACGCGCTGATTAATCCAACACAGAGGCTTTATTATTTTAATTATTTATTTTCATTCAAAATGAAAAGAACACTCGCGGTCACTTTACCAAGGAAGAGCTGCTCGTTTACGTCGCTAGACCTTGCGTTACAATGCGACGTTTCAATGGCCGCTTCAAAAGTGTTCTCCTAAAATAAAATAAAAATGTAATGCATTGGATTTCACACATTAAATGGAGGTCCACGCGATGTTGTGTTTACGTGACAAAAATTTCTTGGTCAATTGCTATACTATAGTAACTCATTTTCTCAGTTCTCCCTTAGGGCATTAAGGAACTTATGGTACTAAAAAAAAAAAAAACAAACAAAAAAAAAAACAAAACGGCAGCAAAAATGAAATACATCAAGCACGCAAATTGCATATTTTATCTACAGTTAAAATTGCATTTTTGTCATACATCTGGTTCGGAAGTGCATGGTCCTACGTGGCTCTGGGTTTGTAAAATGTGGATTTTCATCCCTAGTAAATTCCAAGCGGTGTGTTTGTATATCTTCCAAGTGTGTGCCTTGTTGTAAATGTATAGTGGTCATGCTTCCCCCTCATTTTGCGTTCAATGCAAAGCTATAGATTAAATGCTTTGTTTTGTAGCCTTATTTATTTTGTTCAGCATTTCTTCCGCTTCTATTCTCTCGTCTGTGTCACGTAATCAATCCCCCCCCCCCCCCACTTGAATTGTTGAACAAAAAAAAACAAGAGCGGCTACACAACCGACGAGAGCAATGTCGATTCCACTCCGGCACAAAACATAGGCCTTGGTAAATATTAAATTTAAAAGGATTCGAAGATAAGGCGGCTTGAAAAATTGAGGCAGCACCCCATTCTTCTAGATAAGAGAACACAGAGCCATCTGGAGGCTGCCAGATAGCGAACTCCCACGCCATCCGCGAGACCTCACTCTCATCCGAGGCGGCGGCCGAAAGAATGAGTACCGACACTTTCATTATGTTAACTTCCAAAATGAACTCATTGGCATTCAAAGCAGATGCTGCTCTTTTCCCCCTCTGTAAACACAATGTTTTTATACATCCGCACCTAAGAAATCTTCACCGGGTCAGTCCTAAAAGTAATAATATTTATTTTTTGTAGCGTATTGTGCTATTGAGGTATTTGGAATATTTTGCTTACCTCATTTAGCCACTGAGAGGGTCAAAATATTTGAAGCAGCACTGCACTTCGAGACCCAAGCAAATAAAAAAGACAATATTTTTTAAATGAATGTTGCTGACAAAGCTTTTTTTTTTTACAATTGATCCAGCTCTAGTGTAGCTAATGTTTCGGTGTTTGTGTTGCAGGATGAGTATTTGCAAAAAATCTGTGAGTAATTGACACCAAGCCAAAAATATTTGTTGCCTAAGTAGGGCACAAGGAAAGCACTTATTTTTCTATTAAACAACGTTTTGCCCTGACTAAATGAAGCTCCTCTCCTCACTTTGACGTGGTTCTCGGCACCGAGATGCCTCAGGATGGTGTCAAAGCAACAATTTTATGTAAGACGTGGCTTTGAGAAACAGCGATTTGGTACATTTTTCAACAAATAGCAGAGATCTGCAAACAGGGGGATTTTTGAGTGCCAGACGAATATGCGGGGGTTCACTGCATACAAATAGTGTCTCTACCATCACTTTGAGGGAATGGGAACCTTAAACAGACATCCATAGAACCTGAAATTTGTGGAAATAGTCATTCCTTCAAAAATATCGAAACAAAATGAGTGCAAGAAAATGTTACTACATTCGCCTACTCGTTGTTTACTCCCCATATACATTATTTTCTACACTTTTTTTAAATAGTTTCTGAAATAGCATGTAAAATGTAACGCAATTCTTCTATTTACAGGCCACCTCCATCGAAACAATCATGGCCTTTTCACAGTTGATTAGCGCCCTCTCTTGGTAAAAAGTTGACACTGCAATCAGTGAGATTTCGTAAGGTGTCGCCTCAGTGTTGTTATGTTGGTCATAGTTTTTTTACACTTGTTAAAGATTTTACTTCTTGATCCATACCACTCATTTTAACATTAGGATTTAGGATCTAGCATACCCATTAGGATGTCAGAGTTCGTGACTGCGATTTGAACCGTCGTGCCCCTGTGTCAAACGCAGCAAACCACCGGATTGCTCAGCAGCAAGGTAACGTGTTTTTTTTTTTAAACCACCATCACGAGGTACCCCAGCATTGCTCGTTGGAAAGTATTGCATGGTGTTTGTAGACCATTATGATGACTCAATTATTCGATGGAAAAGATTTGACAGTGACTGCCCTAAAATCGATTAATTCATCATTCAGAATGTAGTTGAATAGAGTGTTGATTGCAGTATTTGCATGGAAATGGAGTGCACTACTCGTCCGAATCCAGCAAAAGTGCTGTTGATTCAGTCTCAAGTAATTTCCCGTCGCAAGAAGTCCAACGTGACGCCGTGTTGCGTGAAGTTGAGCTGCACCCATTCTTCTGCTTTGATAAAACACTGACGTGGAAACAGAGGTTCAGAACAGTCAAATAGATTTCCCCATTCCACTGACAAGCTGATTGTTAATTTTCCCCAGAGTCAATCAAGGAACTGTTCATGAATGCCCACCCGTAATGAGTTGAGATCGGCTTAATGGAACAGTGGAAAAAATGAACACTAAATGAAATGAGTGGCATTTAAAAATAGGAATTTGATTTTTAATTGGCAGAAAATACCAAGGCATGTGTCTGTTTGGATGTAGTTAAACTTGGCATAGCTCATGTGTTTTAAAGGTGTCTATCTTCTCTACCAGCTTCTGTTTACTGTCATTTAAAAATAATTTATTCTGAAAAAGTTACTTAAACCTACATACACATTCTGGCTTGTATGGGCCGCCTTTTTAGGTCTTTTTTACTCTCAGAAGAGTGGGAACATTTGAGAATAGGACCAATGTTCACTCATTCCTGCCTACTTTGAAAACCACACAGTTGGTACATGCTCAGCGTCAATTTCATTACATGCACCAAAGCTACCAACAGCACTTTCTCAAGAATAACAGACATTAAACACACTTTGAAAATCACCCTTCAAAAGAATAGATTTCTTGGTACCCATGCATTTTATGCTCCTCCGATTTGCTGGCCTCCACACTCAAAAATGGAAGTACTCACTTAACTCTTTTTTTATAAATTTAGATTTCTTGCGTTCAGACACTTTTTGTTTGCTTGTTTGTTTGTTTTTTTTGGAGCAAAAGTAACTTAGTTGTTTAACCTTGCTAACAGTTTCGCTTTCTGTCATGACAGGCTCTTGTGTGATCACACGTGATCTCACAAAATTGAGACCAGCAGAACGTAGCGGATATGCACACGTGTTTACCGAGTGTGTCCAAAGCCAAAGCGTTGTGAAATGGAAAATGCTTCTTGGCATTTGGGGAATACACTTTTATACAATTGGGTAAGACATTTTTCTTTCCATTTCTTCCTTGCTCCCCTTGATTGTGGATTTTTTTTTTAATGTCAAAAAATGCATGTTATGATTTCTTTTTGGGCATGTCTTTCACATCAAGACAGTTGATGTACACCACTTTCACTTTTTGCTAAACTTCGTCTGATGGCCTCAGCCGACACAATTCACTCGCCCGCTCCATTAGCCGGCAAGCCGCTATATGTGCCTTGATGTTCTGCAGCTGAAAATAATTTTGCCCAACTGGGCACCACCCTTATGTTGGTGGATCATTCGGTTTAACTCTAATTCCACAATATTAGAGTATTGTGTTGTACATGCTGGAATATACAGTGCATTCTTGCTTTCAAAAAACGCTATAGTTCACTTTAAAATATGCAGACCTCAGGAGTTCTTCCACCTGAAATATACCGGTACTGTACATATAAAATATAACTTAATTAATTTTCTTTTTTATAAATGACCCCTTGTCATTGAGTTATTTTATAACGGTGCGTGTGGAATTCTAAAAACAAACGACTTATAAATTGGTAAAGACGCAGATAAACACCCTCTTTTTACATACACAGCAAAATGAAAGCAGTTTAAGGTGGCAAATTTTGCTGCATGCTTTGAAAAGGGAAAGTAGTGGCATCTGCTGGGCATATAAGAAAGCCACACACACCAATATCCAACACCAGTACTAACATGTCATCATATGGTTTGAATTGCGGGGCACCGTTGCATTAAACTATAAAAGGTGTGACTTACTCCAGCATTTTTTATCTGGAGAAAAGTGCTTTCCCATACACGAATGCATACACCGATATCTAACAATCATAATGTTTGTCATTTTGGTAGCAAGGTGCTTTTGCAGAAAACAGTAGGCGTTAACCTTTGTTGCATTCTTTCAGTTGGAGGGTGGGGTGGGGGGCGCACCAGCTGGTGTTAAAATAAGACAGACATGCACAGTAATATCCGTTTGAGAGGCATCCCTGCAAAAACCGTCCAAGTTTCAGATTTTTGCCGCATGATTTGAATGGGGAAAAGGTGGCTGTGATTCAAATTGTAATGTTAAATTCAAAGGAATGCATTAGTTTATGTTGAGATAAATGTGGGCATTTTCAGTGGTTTCCAATCGTATCGGGTAGCTTTGAGGCTCATATCAGGATGAGCCGATTACACACTTGAGAAGAAAAAGGGTTAAATACATTGTGTGTGCCACATGAGGTAAGGGACTGCATCTCCCCCAAATCTATGTTGACTCTGTTTTTGTAGAAAAAAAAATGGCTGTAATGGACTCTCGGGTTACGTGACTAACCTTGTCCACATTGCTACTGGGTTGACTCCTCGGCTATTTCTTCACAGCCACATTGGATTTGGCTCCAGGATAAATACTTTTGTATAATATTTTATCTGTGCTCCCGGTCCACTAATTGCCCCACCCCGCCACCCCCCCGAATTCCCAGATAGCAGATGCAGGTCGATTAGGGAATATCTTTTTGACCTGCATTCCGCAGCGACTGTCCTATAGGCTCTGGGATGAAAGCTGTTACCTGCTTGATAACGGGCAACCCTGGAGTGATAACCTTCCGGCTAGTTTCGAGGACACGCCGTTTCGCTTCGCACGTAAGCGCTTGCAGTCGCAGCATTTCTTATTCAGCCTTGCGCCAATTTTTTTTTTTTCCTCAAATAGGATTTGCCGCGAGGTTAATCATTAAGTTTGGCTCTTCGACTGTTCGGGTGACCGCCAACCATTCGTTGAAATGTGATGAAGGGCTTTGAAAGACAATCCCGCGGAAAAAGGCAGCGACTTCTTTCTTTCTGTATGCAGAGCAGATTTGTCGCCGCGGTTACGCGGAGTCACTTTGATTAATTTACGTAAGGATGCTGACATCTGCGTTTGCAGATTTTCATTAAGATCAATGGCAAACGGCTTCAGACACGCTTCCACTTGTCGAGGCTATTATCCCCAAAAGCCACGGTAGATTAAGTAGAAAAATAACTCGTTGATTAGGATAAAATCTCCCTTTCAGAATCAATTGTTTTTGTTTAAGGCAGCTTTTTGAGAAATATAATTAGAATGCACCTTGTTCACAAGATGTGCATGTAGGCCCCGAGGCGAACGGTGATGGCACCAGTATGGGGAATATTTTGTGTTATGTACTTTTCCGGAAGAGTGCAGTGTGAGCCACTGTCAACCTTAGTTTTAATCCTTCCCTCCACTGTGTTGTGCGATGTTATGTTGTTATCTTAATGATAATCGCTGCCTGTATTTCTGCGCCACCCCGGGCTCCTCCGCCAGGCTGGGGTGGGCTGAGGAGTTGCGCCTTATCAACAGCTTTGTCATTAAATCAGCTTTCTCTACGCCACGTCCAAAAAGTTTACCGTCGTCACTCTTATCGGAAAGCATCGGCAAACCGGTTTTCTTTTCAATCACAGCTTTGCACATTCAGTCGGGCGGAGATAAAATACAGCGCAGGCTTTTCCATATGGGGCGAAAAGAGTATTTAATAGTGAGACAAATAAAAACGGACAATGGCGTGATTTGTGTTTGTTGTCAGTGGATGTCAGCTGCTTTTCAACCAACCGCGCGCACACTCATGCGCCCACACACACACACACACACACACACACACACACACACACACACACACACACACACACACACACACACACACACACACACACACACACTTTGTTTTGTCATACTATAACCCTTACAGAAAATGGTAAAAGGTGTCATATTTTGCTGCATGCTTTTAATAGAGAAAAGTAGTGCAACAGAGTGGACAAGTTGTAGTCGGTAGATAGTTTTGAAAATTAATATCCTCAAGAAATTTCAACCTAAAGGCAATTTACAACCAAAGCAGCATTGGTGAGAATGACATTTTATGACTTTACAAAGAAAAAAAAAGGAATTTCAGTGGCTTCCATCCTTTACACACAGACCCATTTTGCTACATGCTTTGAATGGGGACATGAAGCATCATCTGGTGGATCAACATAAGCCAGATGGAACTTCAATAGAAATTTAAACATAATATACCATTCGCTTGTGTTATTATCAATGCTGGAATTATTTTTTAAAATTTTGTTATGCATATCCTCTGACAAATTATTAATTTAACAGCCAAAATAGCATTGGGAAGAATACAGTGTCACGTTTAATACTGAAGCAAGTAAAATTGGACAATGTCATGCTTTGCATATGTCTTGGAGTGACGCGCGCATGCACGCACACACACGCACACGCGCACACACACACACACACACACACACACACACACACACACACACACACACACACACACACACACACACACACTTTATTTTAATATGCATCAGCTGCAACACACACTTTGTAGAACACTTTCAAAGGTGTCATAATTTGCTCCATACTTTGAATGGGAAAAACAAAAACACCATTTGTGGGTAAATTGGAGTCAGCCAGTGGTCCAAAATGAAACTATAAAAAAAAAAAAATAAAGAATTTGTTAGGTTGGATTACTTTTTCAAAATAAAGATGGGATCAAACATTTTTTCATTAATATCCTTTTGTAATTTGAACATTCAACACAGCCCAAAAAAAATCATCCGGAAGAGAAAACATGTTCTGCTATAAACAATAAAAAATTCATGATTTGCATTTGTCATCAGTGGTTTTCAGCTGTCCCTCCCTCGTAATGTTAGCATGGAACAAACAAAAAAGAAAACCTGACGAGTCTTCGCAATTCATGGCTTGTTTTCAGTCTTAAAAGTCAAGTAATGGGGTTTAAGGTTTTCAAGCGTGTACTCAATTCTCACGGCTGTATGTACAGAAGGCAGCCTCTTAATGTCCCAGTCAGGCTGCAATTGGTAAAAAGCGCTGTTCTGTCCCAGTGACTGTACTGATTGTCTCGGTGTTGTGCTCAAGTCGAGGGCAGTGCCAAGTGAACTTGGTGGTTTGACATCCAGTCAGTGCAGTAGGGGGCTCACGGAAACCCCCTCGCCCGAGCACACACGCTTACAGTGCGGCAAACTGCTAAACAGTGAAGGTTCCGGAGGTCTCTTGATTGCGGACGGCGCGGCATGTCCCTCTTTGTCCTGCCACAGTGCGCCGATAGTCTCCGGGGGTTGATAGCCCGGCTCCTGAGGGTCCAGTGGGTCTTTCGAGAGCAGAATGCTGATGGAGGGCACCGTCCTGTGCACGGTCATCTCTGACGTGCCCCCCTCGGTGTTCTCCCACACCTCCTTGACCACCTTGTACTGCAGTTTGGTCAGCTGGTGCAGCGAGCCCACTTTACGCTTCATGATCTCAGCACATGTGATGGTCTTCGTGACGGCGCGGCCTGACCCGGTGAAGACCACCTGTCTGAGTCCACCCTCTCCGCCACCGCAGAGTCCTTTCTCGCCTTGCATCCGGGCCATGGCGAAGCCCATCAAGTTGCGGATCTTACTCCCTTCTTTAACGCGCATCTCCAGTACCCCCGAGGCCAATCCGGGGAAGGGACACGGACTGTGCTCCTCAGATCTGCAGACTTTTTTGAAGCCGTCCTGTCCCAGTTTGAGCGCAGCGGGAGGCACAGGTTGGGGTGTCTGTTCGAACGTGGTCGTAATAACATTGTTCTCCACTTTGGGCAAGCTGGCATTCGTGTACGTCTGACCCTGGTATGGAAGAAAGGTCCCGAAGTGTTGCCCATTCTCCATTCGAATTGACGCATCTACTTGCAGTCCCTGTTGAGGCTTGAACTGACCCCCGGTCAGGAAGTGGCCACTCACCACACCATCCCCTGTGAACATGGCTCCTGTCCTCAAAAAGCCTCACTTCGAGTTCAGATGTGTTTACTTTTTCATCATGGCAAGCCACCGGACTCTTCCTCCGACTGACAGCTGTAAAGTTTTACAAACAGACTTCATCAAAGAAACATTACCCTCTTCTCCCCTAAGAGCAATATCAACGCAGTCTTTAATGCAGGCTCTCTGAAAGGGCTGGAGAATTAAGATAAATGCCCGGCTTGTGAATCAAAAGCTCTGCCGGGACCATTCAAGATGTTCTTTAAAGAGACTCTTCATTTCACAGCATTTGGAAAGCGCTTCGGGGACAGATAACGATAATGAAAATAGGCTATATTGTTCGTTTCAGTTCAGTTTTTCCGTAGAAGCGACCGGATATAAGAAGTACTTTGCCTGTAACTTAAAGGAGATTTGACCTTTGAGTCCAGTCCATTCGGGTGTCGCTCACAACTCGGAAGTGACCTCTCGTTTCAGTCCTGCTCATAAGTTCCGCCATCTAATTTTGCACTTTTGTCCATTCCTACTCTGGTACGAGTCAAGTCACCGGAGTTGCGCGGAGTTCCCCGGAGCGTTCCTCTCCCGGAGCTCTGGCTTGTCTCCAGTGATGCTGCGGGAAGTATGTTTCTGCTCCCCACAAAGAGACATGAGGGACAGAAGCTGCCTCGGCAATGCTCACAGGAGGAGTGTCTGTGTGGCTCAGTGAGGGTGGGGTGTGGGGGGGCATGATGGAGGGGGGTTGTGGGTTGGGGGGTTGGGGAGGTCCTCTTAAAGGCGCAGGCTTTTTTAGCTTCCATCCAAAACACAGTCCGCTCCTGTGCTGCATCGGCTCGCTGTGCCCCTTTAACCAACGTCACTCATTTCCCCAGCAACTTTGTCAATCTCTTTAGAGGACGTTCAATGTACACTACTGATTAAATCTGAGCACCAGACTAGCGGCTCTGTTAACTAAAAAAAAAAAAAAAAAAATGTGTGTGTGTGTGTGTGTGTGTGTGTGTGTGTGTGTGTGTGTGTGTGTGTGTGTGTGCCGGGTTCCCAAAGCAAAGGAATAAATTAGCTGCATGTTAATTGCAAACATCTTTCAAAAGTGCTGGCTCAAAGTCATATTCATTTTTACCTTTCACTTTAAAAGCAATGCTCATGAAGAAAAGTCACCGTTGTTTTTCTTTTTTTTTTTTCCACTCGTGGAGGCACCCGTCGACAACTTTGCCGAACATTTTAGTTTTTGCTGGGTAAGAGAAGCTGACACTGTTAGTTAATGCTCACCTGTGCCAACTCAGCATCTCTTCTTACCTCTCGGTCATACTTTTATAGTCGTTTCAAAGTGGTTAATTGGAACACAAAAAGATGCTAAGCTAGCTCTCAGCTAGCTTTCAGCTTATCTGGTAACCGTGACGTGAATCTTCTTTATAGTCATTCCTGTCATGTTACAAATTGGCCCAATATTTAAAAACTTCATCTTCTATTATTTTTGCTTCCGATTTCTTCAAGTCAGCCTGCTTTCTGATCGGTCGCTCCATTCCGCATGCGAATTGACATAGCTCAGGGGTCCTCTGTGTCGACACTCAGCCCATGCCAGTGTTGGCTATCAGTGTGATACTTTCATCCCCACACTTTTCCTGAAGGACACCACGGTTTTCTTTTTTTCAAAAACAAAACAATTTTACGAGGCAACCTCCCCGCCCAGGCCCCTTCGCCCCACTTGCCAGTGAACAGTTCAGAACAATTTGCATGCCAACCCAGAGCCACGTCACTAATCTAATGTCCATTTGTGACTTTATGAATCAAATAAGCGGTGCATGACAATGCTTTATTTGCATTTTTTGCAGTAAAATCACAGTTAAACATTGGTGCCAGTCAACACGGCCGCAAGCCACAGATGTAAAAGGAGCCTTTGTTTTGCATTGGCAAAGAGTAGGCGCGGGTCTGACAACAGATTTGTGATGAGCTTTTGCTGTAGAATCATGAAAGAAACTGTGTTCATTTTCAGTTGTGGGGAGTAACGCGGTACAAATACTTCATATCGTACTTAAATAGATTTTGTTTTTAGTATCCGCATTTGAATTTCTTTTTCCAATTGCTTTTCCACTTTTACACTCTACATTTGAAAACAGAGACCATCTGTAGTTTATAGTCCTTACAGTGTCAAAAAGGGCTTGTATCTTACTTTAATCTCCTCCGATGACAACATGATATAAAGAGAGGTCAAAGATCCCAAGTGATCAAAATGGGTATTGTATTATTGGTAATTTTAAAAATGTCATTTTTACATTTGTATTTAAGTACATTTCAAAGTCTGTACTTTCTTACTTTTAAAGGAGTTGAATCGGTATTGCTACTTTTACTTGAGTCTTGTTTTACACACAAATCTGTACTTCTACTTCAAAGCAGAGTGTGAGTACTTTTGCCCCCTGTACTAATTTTGTTTAAATAGCTTTCAACCACAACAAAAAGAATGGGTGTTTTGCTTTCGTGATCGAAGAGTCATTAAGCACACATCAGGGAGCATTTGCTTTCTCCGAGCATCACTTCAGCGACAGTCTTTCAGTCTTGACGGGTGAACAGAAACCATAATGGGCTTTCCATCACCAGTGGGTGGCGCTGCCCGACTCGCTTCTTGCGCCCCAGACAGGCCCAGACAGTTGTGGCGTCCACCTAATCAGCTCAGTAGACAGGTGGATTTGTTTTTTTCTCCATGTGAGTGACAGATGGGAGAATGCGTGAGGACAGCCCACTGAGGCTGAACCTATAAGGCCAAGAGAGAGACCGACGAGTCCTAACTAGCCTTCGACTCAGTATATCTCCCAGTAAACAGTGGTGCCAAGACAGCTATATGTGAGGCTAATATATAAGCCTTTGTGTTGTGTACGATTTATACAAATAAGGGAATCTCTTGACCTTCGTCAGAGAGCTTTCACCTTGTCACCTTCACATGTCTCCAATCTCCAATGTACCTCACAGAATCACCATCCAGACAACTCCAACAGTCTGTAGATATTATGATCATGAATATTCCATCCATCCATCCATTTTCCAATCCACTTTATCTTCACAAGTGGAAGCCTGTCCGAGCTGTCTTTGGGCAGTAGGCGGGGGACACCCTGAACCGGTTGCCAGTCAATCACAGGGACGAACAACTATCCGAGCCCACACTCACACGTAGGGACAATTTAGAGTGTTCCATTAACCTGCCACGCATGTTTTTGGAATATGGGAGGAAACCGGAGTACCCGGAGAAAACCCACGTAGGCGCAGGGAGCTCATACAAACGCCACACAGGGAGGTCGGAGTGAACCCTGCACCTCTGCGCTGTGAGGCTGACGCGCTGAACCAGTCGACCACCGGGCTGCCGTGTTTGATCATTTTTGCAGTATATACAGAACACAAACAATTTTGTCTATGTCTAAATAAAAACAATTATTTGGGATGTTCAAAATCACTTTTACAACTATTCACTCCTTCAGTACTCACCGATGCTGAGTACTGATAGCTCTAGTACCTATGTGTGTGTGTGTGTGTGTGTGTGTGTGTGTGTGTGTGTGTGTAAAAACAAATGAAATTGTTTTCTATTCAACTCCAGTTGGTCATCATAAAAATGGTGATAATAGTAACATTACTGAGATACCCAACTGTTGCCCATAAACAAATGCGAGGGTTGCCAGGCTTTTTTTTTTCTTTTCTTTTTTTCTCCTTCAACTCAAAAGGTGTTCGATAGAGGAGTTAGCATTATAAGAACAAGAGGAATAATGTAACATCGATGAGTTTCCATTGGAGGAGAAAAAATGTTTTTGTTGGCTTTTATTATCCCAGCCTGAAAAGAAGACACAAGAGCAAGGGCAGGAGGAGGAGGAGGAGGAGAGGGAGGGATTTTAAGCGCTCGCCACCAAAGTGATCATTCTGTTGTTTGGGAGAAATTACTCTCATCAGTCATAGGGAGATGCACAGCTGCCTACAGGGATGTGGTAATGTCACTGCGTAATAAAGTGTGTGTGTGTGTGTGTGTGTGTGTGTGTGTGTGTGTGGGTGTGAGTATCGCAGTGTGGGTTGTGGTGTGGGGTGAGGTGCTTCGGTGCAAATGTAGGAGGGCAGCGGGTGAGAGAAGTCTAATTTAACCACAGAGAGCTTTAAATTGATGATAAAGACGGCTCTGTAATCATCTGTATTTACCACATCATCACGGCGCGTAGTTTATTGCTTGTCGCGTCTGGAACATGATTGATGAACAAACTTGCCGCAATTGAGGTGGCGCAATGTCGTTTTGAGTGGGAAACATGCACGAGAAGCTATCATCGCATAGGTGATACATTTGACCGTGGCTTCTTTTCTTAAAATCATACAACCAGGTGTCATTTGTTCCTAAAATCTTGGCCAGGAGACGAGCAAAATGCTTTCAGAGGGCTTGAAGCATAAAATACGACAAAAGGTCAAAAAGTTCAAGGGGGCTCAATACTTTCGCAAGCCACTGGGCCAGTCTACGTTTTGACAAAATGGCACAAACCGTTGGACTTGAATGTATGACACCATTCACAGATCCAAATGAAGTTACAAGCGTTGTAACGTCGGTGGCTATTGCAAGAAGCTAATCTCTACCCAAGCCTCCTTCCTTATAAAGTACCAAGGAAATGGCGAGCTAACTCGTCAGCAGCTAATGCGAGAAGCTAACATCGTTACTAAGTGGTCCTTCTCCTCTACTCCTCATCAAAGAGCCTATAAGCCGGTGGTCTTTGCAATTTCCACCGTATTCTTCTGCACTTAATTTTGTAAAACCGTCAGGGGATCTGAAGTGGTATGTAATGACCTTTTTGAGAAGAGTGTTTTTCCCCTTCCACCCCTCGCTCCCTCCCCTGTAAGTGCCTTCATATTATGACGGGGGGGGGGGGGGGGGGGGGTGGGGGGGGGGGGAACGTTGGCCGTGTCGGGGACGGCGGCCGTGTCGGTGGTGACGGGCACTCACGCTTGGTCACTTGCCCCTTTGCAATTCCTTCGTACTTACACCTCACTTAATCTAACCTTGGTTCATATCTGTGACATTCAGTCCTCAGAGACTGTACGGGAAGACCAGACAAAAGCATTTTGCTCACCTCAGCTGGAATTGAAAGCAAGAATATGGATTTTTTTTTTCTTCCTTGCAGGTTTCCCAAAAAGGTTATTATGATATGTTTTAAACATGATATACAGGAGCATGTGGTAAAATTCCAAAAACAAAACTAAAGCAATGCTTCCTTTACAGTATGTGTTCAAATAAACATAATTTAAAACTGCAAGTAATCTTTCTTTGTTTTTTCAATTTTCAGAGCTGGCCATAGACATTAAAGTAACAGCATCACATTTTTTTGTTTTGTTTTGTATTGTTTTCCTCCTGGGTTTCCCTTGCATTTTCAAGTAACCACAACTGCATTTAGAATTTAAATCAGTGATAAGGAATATTCTGCTTTTTCCTCCTAAAAAGAGCTTTATTACAAAAAGCCAGGAGGTGGCATCCTCTCCAATTTTTGCGAGGAGGCTTTCATTAAAAAGAACAGAATCATATTTTTTTTTAATTCATTCATTTTTTTGTGTAGTTTATTTAAAGTTATCATAAGGATTTTTTAAATGTAATTTGTCATTACTTCTACCAACCAGCTTCCCTTTTGTCTTTCACTAATCAGAGGAAATGCAATTTATTTTCAATTT